CCGTTTATGCATCTTGAATCGGTTGATCTTAATCCGGGTGGTCATTGCACACATGTCCATCCGATTAATGAAAGTGTACTCTGGCGCTCATTTCGAGCTCTTTTTCCCAGAAATAAATCACTGAGCAGTATGAGAGAGTATCCGTACACCTGAATAAATCAGCATAAGTAGCCGTACTTCTACGCTGGATCAATAATCGAGATTCGAATTTCATGAAGAGGGATAATTTCCTACACTGTTGTTATTGGTTGTTTTGAAAAAAGATGTCAAGGAATGAAGAGAGGCGGAAGCTTGTGGCGAGTTGTAATGACTGATTGAATAAATGAATAAATAAATGTTAATTTGGCCTCCTTCCTTCTTCAGAGCACTTCCATTTACATATCACTGTTCATAAACAGCAATGAATTAGGGAATCATTGCTGTATATGAACGGTGATGCGTAAATGCTAATTGTAAGTGTAAGAGACGCAATAGTTATGAAGAATCTCAATGAATCGAACACTGTTCGTGGTTTTTGGGAGCGCAATAAACTTGAGCAGCGCATCACTGAACATGAGCTTTTCGAGTGAAGTTTATTAGAAATGGCTCCTTACTTTTTCTATACGTAACCAACAGCAAGACTCTTAACAATGTGAGCAAATTACAAATGCCTGATGATGGTTCATGTGATCTTCAATCGATTTATACGGTCGATTGACTTGTGTCGACATCACTGCAAACAATTACCGGTATAAGTCGAGGTATTACTTTTTTGTTCGAACCAGCAATAATTTCGAGAAAAATTCCACTTTCGGCAAGCTGTATTCTTTGATATCCTGACAACACACACAAAGGTAGCTGTTCAGTTTGTTTCAATCCGTGAATGCTTCTACTAATAACTTTACAAAATAAATTCACGTAAGCGTTCCCCAGGTATCGCTGGAATTCACGTTTTTTTTCGGATAAAAACTGCTATCGTTTCACATTTGCACTCCGCTCCTGTTGTTATTTCGAAGTTTAGTTTCATTTCCCTTCCTCTCATCAGAATCTCTGCCCTTACTTCAGTTTCATTTTCTCGTAGCATTTATTCATTCATTTAATTCGTATTCAGCGACTTTTTTATGTGAAAGAAGTGATTATAACAAAATTTGATTGGTTGTACTTGAATAATGACAGTGAGGTCGCGGTCATTTCTGAATGTATTGTAAGTTGATTCAATTTAAAGGGCACAATTACTTCGCATTGAATGCAGTTGACAGGCTTGGAGTTTTTTTTTTTGAATTCATTACCTGCTGTGTCTATAATCATAAAAAGCTTTCCGCTTCGTTTTGTATGTCTGAATGATGTGCTGTTTTAGTGCACATGAGTATGCGCAGATACGAGCAATCATCAATGCGTTTCGCGTTTGCGGTTCACACAAACTGCAGTAGTAGTCAGTGGTTGTTCGATCCTTCAAAGCGACACGTTCTTGCCTAAGGCAGAATCGTTTCGTTCCAGGCAGTGCATAACCCTGAAATTATTCTCTTTTCACCTCTTCCAGTCGAATCTCGTCGCAGCCAATTTTGTCGGCTTCCCTCGCGTTCAAGTTTTATTTCTCTTTCACTTTCTCAATCTCAGTTTGTATCCATATCCATCCTTATGCCATAATCTGCTTCAAATCATCAAGCATTTCCACATGAATTCATAATATAAAAGCCTCATTTTTCTCGGTCTCATAGCAATTTGTTTTATATTCAATCTTTTATATCCGAAGATGATTCGTCTACTTTACTCAAGAAACGTGACAGTTTCCCGTAATTTTATATGATTTTATTTGTAAATGTAATATTTCAATCCTCATTCAATCTTGAGTTTTTTGGCGATTCAATCAGGTTTGTTAAATGACAATAATTTGCATTCACTAAGTAATTTGTGACGCAAGGATATTTAAGGGATCCCTTTTTGTTGGCATCCCTGTTTGTTTTTTTTTCGCGGAGATTAGAGATGGTATGGGCGATGAGGGTTGACAGAAATAAGAAGTTGACGGAGAAAAAAGAAGAATTGGAATGGACAAAGGGCGATGAACGTGTGGGGAGGGCGATGGATGAGTGAGGGAGTTGTAATCGATTGCATGAAATTAATGGTATGAATATGAAATTAAATGAGCTTAAGGCAGCATGTTAATAGCCGATCAGTGACCGAAAGAAACCTGTTGCTTTACCACTACGTTGAGTGCAGCGCAGCGCATAGTAGGCAGCCAGACAGTGAGGCAGCTTATCCTGCTTTTATCACGCCACCATAAAACATCATTTTACACAAGCCCATGTGCATGGTATAACATGAACTCTTTGTTCTTTTTTTATCCCATTTATTTTTCTCAAACAGACGATTTTCATGGAGGAATTGAGGAACTCCCGCCTGTTTAATTCAATTCCAAGCGATTTTCAATCGGCCTACGTTGGGGAGGCAATGGCGCATGTCGCACTCCTGCTCAAAAAAAAGACATTTGGAAACAAAATTGGTAGGTGATTGGAACAAAGATGTAGTCGTTTCCATAGAGTTAAATTTGGCTCACAGAATAATTCGCATACCGTTGTGTTTCTACAAAAACTAGTAAAGTATCGGACGACTCACGAAAAACTTTCGTCAAAATAGATTAATCTTTCCAATGGATGTATAGCTGTCGCCGAAAAGAAAAGGTTTGCGTATCGCCATGCAATAACTGAGTTGATAATGCAATCTCAAGTGATCATTCACAAATTTAGGCCATTTTTGAGTACACGGAATCTAACATTTACGCTAACAAGTCTAACATTTACATTTCAAAANAAAAAAAAAATCGCCTTTCATTAATACTGTAGCTGCTACAGTGTAGCAGATATCACGTACCACACTATGAGAGGAAATTTTCATGACCTCCACTCTTTCTCCCAATCTCACTCACAATCAGTTCATCTCCAAATTTGCATGAATTATCACTCACTGATAATTCATGCATAATATAATTCTACTTGTTCTTCGTCTTTATTCATTCTCGATTTCTTCACCTGTCTTTGCCATACGGGGATGATGTATAGATAAAGCTGAAGTAGAGTAAACTTTAAGTGATAATCCAGTGCTTTTATAAAGTGTGTACATATAACGTATCTTAGTGGTGATATTTCTAATCATATTATTAATGTATAAATGAATTATGTCAATTCAGTCACGCGCATTCGCCGCATTCAAATGCTTATTCACATTAGTAGATCTTTGGTCATTATTCATTGATGTCTGAAAGTATATATGTGGATGTTATTACTATACGTATTATATTTTGAAGTAAGACGCCGCATATCTTTATGGTATTATACTATTCGCGTTAAGCAATTACGGTGAATTGGTGCGTTTCATTGGAATTATTTCACGTAATCTCGTTTCGTGTTGCCGTATCCATTGTTAGACGAATTCGTCAAAGCTATCGAATGGCATTGATGATTTGTCTCTGATTTCAGGTAATCAACTTTGGAGTGTTGCACGATTGCATTTTTAGAAACATTATTGCTGAGCGGAACAATTAAGGGAGCGTTTCATAATGGACATTTCAACAACTGACACGTTGGACTCTGTTGAGAGTAGGACGGATAGCGTAAACTCGGACAAAAAACTTCGTGTGCAAATCACTGAAGAGGATTTGGTACGTTTCAGATGTTATATTGTCGGAAAGTAAGCGGGAAATTACTCCTTTTTAGTGGTTGATAATTTTTTTAAGTTGATAAAATTTTTTTAATTATGAATTCGCTGACGTCTGTGAATTCATAAATCAAAATGTAATGTTGTGAACCCTTAAAAAATTTTGGATTCTGCATATCGGATTGCCTGTGAGGTGCATATTCCTCAGTCTTCGTGAGGATTACAAAGCAACCTTTCAGGCAGTGAAATTCATACTTTGCGGTCATTTTCCTGGCTTTGACATTGACTTATGAAAACAGTACGTAGCGACGAAAAAGCTCTGTTTCCGAATTCTGCGTACAAAATCGTACAAGAAAGTGACATTCTCACTGTTGCGCAATTTTTTGTTGCGCAGTGTTATTTTGGTTGTTGCTCGATTGAGACACCAGCCGCAATAGCGCATTGTTCCACTTCAGTTGTGTGTTAATGGCTGCGGTTTTTACGGTACTCCACAGTGGAAAGGAAGATGCTCGAAATGCTGGCGTGCTTATCAAATTCAACAGAAGAAGACACAAGACTTTGCCAAGAATAGGTGCGTTCACTCTACTGTCCAACTGATTGCCATATCGGTGCCGTACTTTCCAGTTTTTAGCTCATAACCTAAGTGTTCATTCTTCTAGTCATCGAAACACCATTCGTTTTTCTTATTTTCAATTGATTATCAGTTCTTATTTATTTTCTCAATCACGCTTCATCAATCATTCACCTATTTTTCAAAACAAAGTTGCTTCATATTCTCTAAAATTCATCCCCATTCCTCAGTTCGGCACCGTAAGAAAGCAGTTTTGACCCCCGCCTCGGGCTGATCGGAATGTGTTGATCGATGAACAAAGTTGCAAGAGAAAAGTCTTTTCAGAGAATTGCTAAGTTTTGAAAAATTCGAAGGTCGTCGTAAACTGTCCACTGAAAGTCGTAGTTTAACACTGAAAGCGATCCTTCGAAAATCACCGTCAGTGAACGTTAATACGACGCCTGAACGTTAGTTTATTTTGTATTCGTTCGTTCGCTGTCCACTCAGAATTTTTATTCTATGATTAAAAAAACTATTGGAATGTTGTGCAAAATGATGCTCAATTGTGAGATGAATTAATCATTTATATCAATGAACGGATTGGATTGTGATCAATTAGTAACCAATTTCAGAGGCGATTTCTAGTGGTTCAGCACCATCTCAATCAACGCTGCCATCACCCGGCTCGCAGAGGTTTGATATCATCTCACTGTTAATGAAAATGAATAAGCGTTTGAATGCCCCACGAATAAGTAAAGGAGATAGTTGTTTGTTAAGCAGACGGATGAGTTCGCTTACTGAGGGATTTTAAATTCACTGAAGAATTTTGCGTTTAAAAGGATTATTCCAAAACTATTTTTGAGCTTTTTAAAATATGATAGTAATAGTTCTAGAAGTAATGTTCATCAGGGTTGCAGAAGACGTGATTTGAGTGAGGAAAGTCGTATGGCATGCGATCACTTCAGTGAATACCTCAAGAAGAATCTGCCGTCTACAGCAGCCACTGAGATTTGGCGTCAGACTCGGCATGCAATCTCTAAGATCACTGAGGTTTGAAATTATATTCCATTTTCTTCATCGAAGTCGTGCCTCAGCTTGGTTTCTCTGAACGGGTCGTGTATTTATTTTGTATCGAGTGTTAATATTTCAAGCTCAAATCATCGAATTTTCAATGCGTTTCACACTCATTCCTCAGAAGCGTTACACCTTTCAGCAACAAAGTAACACAATCAGTATGGATGATCTTTCTGGAATGGTGCAACATTTCTATCAGGTTCTATCTGATCGTATACGACACAGCTCCATAATTAATGGTAAATAATCCCCTCAAAATTCAGCATTTACATAGTTATTATTATTGCTGATCTGATTGTCATTTTTATCTTTTATCTTAATGTCTTTATTGGCTAATGTCTATAATCAATAAGTAGATCGTCTGGAACTGTTTACAGATTCGAATGTATGTGTAACAGTTGAAGAGTTAATGGCTGAAATCGAACAATACGTCTGTGTTCGTGCATATAGCACACTTTTTTGTGCAAGGTCACTTCTGTTCATTTCGCTTTTCAATAGTTTGTTATTATCCTAATTGTAAGTCTTTTGATTAATATTCAGTGTCATTAAATGCTCGTAGGTTTTTGTGATAAATTCGTGATTTATTGGCGTGTGGTGATCAGGAAGTATAATTGAAAGATGTGAATGATGATTGTGATAATGGAGTAATTGTAGAGCCGATGAAGAGGTTGCCGATCTGTCACTACAAGATCGTATCCGCTCGTTGAATTGGGTCACCGCTGGATTTCTGGAAACAACGCTCGATTTCTCTCAACAAATGGTATTTTTATTCATCCGTCATCCTAGCCATTATGTTGCCAAAATTAGCTCATATTGCTTCAGCAACGATTGAAATTAAGGTTTGTGATAAACTGGATGAAGCAATCACGGAAATGATCGATATAAACAGTCATCGAGGTGCAGCAGAAAAGTTGAGTTGTTTAGTGCGATGCTCAAAAATGATATTCGAGGCCCTCAAAGAAAGTCGATCAGGTTCATGAATTTCATTTTTAGCATAATTTGTCATCATTCATTCATTTAACTGTCTGATTTTTTGAATCACGTCTTGTTCAATAATTCAAACACATTCAATCACACACTTATTCTCTCAATCGATAATTATCTGAGAAACAAGGAAACAAGTAATGATGAGTGCTGATAAATTAAATAAGGCGGTGAATCAGGTCTTTTTTATGCTAGTGTTGCGTAGACATTTTCAAAATTTTTGACTTGCCCTAATGAATAATTTCATTAGGTGCTCCGGCGAGTGCTGACGAATACTTACCTGTACTGATATACGTATTGCTCAAAGGTAATCCACCACTAATTCAGTCGAACGTCAAATTTATTAGTCGTTTCGCGTTGCCATCCAGAGTGATGAGTGGTGAATCAGGTCATTTTTATAACTACTTCAATTCATTTTCATGCAGTTTTTCCGTCCTATGTAGGAACCATCATCCTATCCATCTCATGTTCCAAATGAATCAACATTAAACCAAGTTAAATCAACAATGGTCTTCACGATTGTTTCCTGCGTTTTTGCATCAATTAAATTTTTTTCGAACTGATTCATTGTTTATCTCAAAGTAATGCATTGCGTAGATATTTTCAAAATTTTGACTTGCATCAATGAACATTTCTATGAATAATTAACTTTCAGGCTATTACTTCACAAATTTGAGTTGTGCTCTTCAGTTCATTCAGAATATGAACGCAGATAGTTTGAAGATGCCAAGAGAAGAGTTTGAAGCGTACACATCAGGCAATCAAGTACCACCACTGAGCGAGAAAAATTGTGGTTGCAATCAGGTGTGATAGACATTAATTAATTCATTGATAGGTGTGCTGCTATCACTCTTCTGCTGTCCTCTCTGTTATCCTTCCAATGAATTTCTCATCCATGAACAACTCTGATTTACCGTTTCCTTCCAACATACAGCAGAATGTTTACTCATAAAGAGTTCTAATGAGCTGTTTTGCTGCGAGGTTCAGTTCTACCTTTGAAGGCTATTCGTTCAATGGAGAATTCGTTGTCTCAAATCCGTGAACTACTCGATCGACAGCGTGAGTTGGCCGGAAGAATAGAAGCATTCGAATTGCGGGTGCAGAGGTGAGCATGAGTGTATCTAAGAACTCGTTATTCGTTATTTAACCAAAAACTAATTTGGTCAATATTGAACCATTTCATTCGATATCCAGTCATCCTACTATAAATTGCAGTGAATTTTACGGTATAAGGCTTGCACCATTGTAGGTGAACTGTCTCCGTTCCACTGTTATCATTATGTAATGGTTCCCTTCTTTTCCCAATTGCTTGATGTCGAACACTCGAGAGATATGCTATCGCATGTTCATCTATTTGTTGAACTTGTTTCACCATATTCTATGTGATTCTTTCTAGGGAAAACGATGAATTTCTGTCAGAGATTCGCGACATTTTGAACGAATATCCATCGGCCGAATTGCAACGTTTCAATGAGCAAATCGCTCAAGAGGAAGAGCTAACAATGTCAGCGTGTTCGCTGACATCACTGTCGATCGACAATTCTCGAACTTCTTCTCGAGATCATGAGGATGAAGACGAGCCAAATACGCTGAATATAAGAAAAAGTAATTTGACTTTAAATTAGACTCAAAATTTCTTCTGAAGTATCTGCGGATGCTAGAAAGGTTGTCTACTAATGTTCAAAATGAACGCTGCAATTGCTGTCTGACGTAGTGAAGTTTCAGTGGTGAAAGCTGTCACAGAGACATTACTTGAAGTGAGTACACCTGAATGTGAAGAATCTAAAGAGATTGGCACAGACATGAGTTCGAATGGAGAAGAAGCAGAAAAGAATGGAGCACAAGGGGAGGAGGATGGCGCTGTGTTGGTGGATCATCAATCTTCAAAATAAGCAAGGAACGACGGGTTCTCATATATTTTGTGTGTGTTTTAATGTGTACGATCATAAGGTCATTGTGATTTAGTTTCGATATTTTAATCTAATTCATCTAGAATTAAGTGATTGTATTTGTTGTCTTTTGAGAATAATTTTTCACGGTTTTATTTGCCAAATTGGCAATTTTTAGCGATCGATAAGTACGTGCAAATGCATCTTTCTGTTCTGTTGTATGTGTATGGGAATTGTAAAAATAATGAAGTGAATCTGAATGTAAACGCTCACGGCTATCAGAGTTCCTATCTTTGAGCTTTTTGAGCATCAAAACGTCAAAAGATAATCGAGAACAGTTCCGTGAATTTATTCATCACTAACATCAGAGTTAATCGACATTTNTTTATTCATGAAGTACGGTTTGATAAGTTGCTAGTTCTATACCTCATGATCTCCCCATTGTTCACATCTCTTGTCGATGTTTTACGGTTTAGTAAGTAATGAATCACCATTAGTATACTGTTTTGAATGGGCTGTAATTGGCTGATTTTACGGATGCAACAACGTACGTTTGTTCAAGCATTTGCGTGAGTAAAGATAAATATTCACTTGTATTATAAAACAACTAGCAGTGATTCTCGCTCTTTTTCTAGTGACAATCCTGAAAATGGCATCGTTTCGCTGTGTAGTCAGTTGCGACACATCCGTTGTTCGATGTACTCTAAACATCACTTTATAAATTCGTGTAATTCAGCTGTGTTGTTTCGTTTCATTTGTCTGTTCTTGACGATCCCTTCATAGGTAACGTATTTTCTGTTGCGCTATGTACGCAGCATATGGACTGAGCGATCATTGAAACTGACTGTATAATGTATTCTAGAATTTTTGTCAGTTAAAGTACTCTGAAACAAAACTTTTCACCAAAAAAAAAAGAGGTAAAATAAACTTTGAGCAAACTCATCTATTCAAGTGGAATTGTGTCCGATCCATAAGTCAGTCTTGATCGATTCAAACGGATTTGTATATTATGTGGTTCATTTCTCAACAAATAAAACGTTTCCATAAATTCCTGCTTTCATTGTCTGAATGATGCTTTACAGTAATGCTTAATCTGAAAAACTGACCTAGCTCCGACTCCGCGTTCCCAAAATTTCCGTCTTCAGCGCTGCACTTTTAAAGATTTCAACTCCAGCACCGCATTTTTAAAATTCCGGCTCAACTTTTCCTCGGGACTTTCTCAAGAATTATTTCAAAAANAAAGATGTTATCGTATGATTGTAGCAGCATTCGATTATCAATAAAATTGGTTTGTAAGCAGCATTATATCACGTGATCAGATGTTCAAATTGTATTCATACAATAAAAACTTTCGCTTTCATATTCTTCTCAACAAAATCTATACAAAACTTTATTATCGTCTCAGTGATTCAGTTTGATAAAATTTTTCATATAAGTCTCCTTTTTAACTGCACCTATATGGCGCCGTTTCGTTCGCTTTTCAATCCGCTTAACTCATAAACTTTTAATGGTCTTTAGTTTTTTGAATCGCTTAACTCATGAACTAAACTATTAGTGGTCTTCTGAACCTCTGCATTCTGAACGTCTGATCGCGTCAAGAAAGTAGCTGCTTAGATTTATCTGGTTTCACATGCTGACAAAATTAGTGACTTCACTCTGAAACAGAACACAGAATTCTGCCCTAAAAGATCACAATAGAATGCAATTCCGCCACTATGTAATTTGCAAACTGAAAGAGTAAATTCGGCTGCAAATATGCTGAAAGATGTTATCGTATGATTGAAGCAGCATTCGATTATCGATAAAATTAGTTTGATACGGTCATTGCTGGATTGGTTTTTGATGAAAGAAATCACAAAAAAAACTAATCGCTTGATTTGCATAGGATGTTCAGAATGAATTTGCATAGGAAAATTTGTTTGCCATCTCAACAAAGTCTGCAAAAAATTTTATTGACATCAGTGGTTTATTATGATAAAATCATTCATACACTTCTCCTCAACCACCTTCGTGGCGCCTCTTGTTCGCTTATCAGTCCGTTTAACTCATAAACTTTTAGTGATCTTTAGCTTTTCGAATCGCTGCCATACATCAATGAAGACCCGAACGTTCTAGATTGATTTTAAAATGTTATACGGTAACGATAAGGACTAACACATAAATGGATCACAGTCAGGCGAATCAATAAAATGACGAGTCATTCGATTAGACGAATTCGATCTGAATCGCCATCCGCTATACCACAGTTTTATTAACGGATTCATCATCCACACAGCAAGATGCTGCAATACAATATAACGGAATCATACTACTGAGTAAATTATCCAGGTGATTTAATCTTTTGATCTCTATTAAAATGTTAAAATGTACCAGATGATGTCAAATTATTTGAGGATGCAATGAAAATTGCTCAGTCCTGGAGAAATACAACTCAGAAGCCTTTTGAAAGGCTCTGGTCAGGGAATGGTACCGATGAGGCCTCCCTGTGCTTCGCATTTACCGATGAACACTACTCGTATTATTATCGTGAGATATGGTTTTGATTTTGCATACGTTTGAAAGAACGGATCCTCGAATTACTTTTTTTCATAACGCTCATATGCCAATCGTTTTCATTTTTGATTTCATCACAGAATTATGATCTCAAAGATCACGAAAACAGCAACTCAATGGAATCATACTTCGAAATCTGTAAGAGTAAATTCGGTTGAAGATGTGATGAAAGATGTTATCATATGATTGAATGAGCATTCGATATTTCATAACGTTTGTTTGATAATATACTTTTATCAGTGATGAGGTTAGCTTTTGATGAAAGCAGCATCATAGAAACATAGTCTTTGTTTGAATTTTCTTTATTTGATTACATATTGAAAAAATTGTTTATCACAAGATTTTTGATGATATCAAAAAACTTTATTGACGAATATGTTGCCATCAACTGATAAGTATTTATATACGTTCGAAAATAACGTACTTAAGAGATGGATAGAATACGCTTCTGCAGTACTCGTCATTGTTCGCATCGTTCTGCTTGTTTATCAGCAGAAGCTCTCGATACGTTCGCTCACAGCAGGTTCGGTATCGATGCTTCACTTCTATTTGGATCTTAGTTGATAATTATATTTCGAAAATATTCTCATAGTCCATTTGTGCAAACAGCAATTCCATATTGATTTCTTAAAAATTAGTGTCAATGAGGTGGGATTTAGAGGAGCTAAGCTCTCGATACGTTTTTTTTAAGCTCTACGTTTTTAAGCTAAGCTCTTTTTCGGAGAATAGTGGAACAGATGGAAGCACAACGGGAAAAGCATGTTACTCGTAATATTATTGATTTTTATTATTGGTAATGAAAAGATGACTCATTGCATATGCGACCAAGAATGCTATTTCATGAAAAGCGAATGTCGCTTTCGCATTCGTTCCTCACAAATAATGACTAATAGTAAGACTTTCACGATTTCACTGTTGATTCATGTTTCGTTGCCAACGTTGCTTTGTTTTCCAAGTCCGTCAATTCTGCATTTGTTTTTAAACTTTGCCTTCGAATTGTGCGATTTCATCCGGATATATAACAAAATATATCGATAGTTTAATCATTCTCGGTGCTGGTAATATTTTCTTTTCAGAAAAGACAGTGAAACAGCGAAATGTAAACTGTGCGATGAAATTAAAAGAGGAGAAGGATTGTCCACGAGAAGACTACGTGTACATGTAGGCACAACATAACATTTTGTAACGAGAAAAATGCCCTGGAGGCCGTAAGAGGCTCGCTTATTACCAAATTCCTCACACCTAATCCTGCATCAACCACTGATTCACTTACTATTAGTGAAATTCAGTTGCGCGCTGGAAAATCAGAACAGTCATCTGAAGATTGTTTAATAATATAGAAATGGTTTAAAAGTGTTCCAGTAATTTTCCATCTAAACATTTTATCTGATCGCAAAAAAATCATCTAATCGCAAATTTTATCTCTGCATGAATTGTACTTTCCTGTATTGCTGGTGTTTTATTTTGTTTTGATTTTGAAGGTGTGAACGAATTTGTTGGAATGTTGAATTTGATGAGTTTTGTTGCACGATTCGTTGACTGTATTGTTTTGTGATTAATTATGAACATATCGGTTCAAAATGGGTGTTGAACGTATCACATTTCTATATTTTAAAAGTTGCTGAATCTCAGGATTGTACGGGGTGTGAAGAACAGTTCTGGGTTTAAATCCCGGTCCATGAGTTGGGAAAATGGTCGGTATTTTGCAAACACTTCGTGAATTTGTTAATGAAATTGAATGATATTCTGTGCTTCGCGCTGATTGATTCGATGTAAATAATTTTAAAAACGATTTCAGAATCTGTAAATAGTTCATAAACCAAATTCTCAGTTTAATTAATGAAGCTGCTAATCATTTTAGGAGTTCACCGGGTCTCATTCGTTTGTTCGGGTATCCATCGTACAATCCAGCTGTGTGGTTCAGCATTATTCCTAATTTCCATATGTCAACTATTTCCCTGATTAATCGAAGTGAGACAGTTTTGGTCAAGGCTGATTATATAAGTGATTCAATGACATTTCGCATCGAGTTTCATATCGACAGTCACTTCATTGATTCAAATCAATTTCGACATAGATAATATTGTGCTGTTATCAACTGCTTTTGAAGTGTTGTTTTGATGTAAAGTATTTGTGATTTGCAAATTGATCATTGCTGACAGATGTCAAGTAAGTCGGTCAGTCGCCTTCCTACCAGCCGACACAGATTCGGTTCCAGTATTCTAATTTTAAATAATGAATATTATTATTGTGGGTATTTACTGGTTTGAATTATTCGGAGAGTTTTATGTTTGGGCGAATATACTGAAAAACATCGCAAAGAAGTACTATAAAGATGTTTCAGAAATGTGATGAGATAGAACATCGGAGAAATTGGTTGTATTTGCCAACTAATATATCAAGTGAAGTTCGTGAGATCGAGTATTCATTACAATCATTTCTTCCGTAAACGAGTCGAGTCGAATTATTTTTTCCTGTAATTTTATTTCCCCTTCGAATCTCGTATCTTATCCCACTTCACTCGCTGCCACAATTTTCTACTATAATAAAATTTTCCTCCCAGTTCGTCGAATTTTACAGGCAGTTAACAAAATAGACTTGTTTTCTGTTAATTGTTTGTAAAATTTGATGAGCTGCTGGTATAAATATCATCTGCTGTACATGAACGAGGAACAACAAGGAACTGTTAGTGAAATGAAGATGGAATTGCCGTCGGAATATTGACCTGATGACATACATCCAAATTCGGATACTCGGTTTGTCGAAGAAAATAATGAAGATCATTCGAAGGATTAAAAATTGCAAAAGTATTTCGATTTAATCCTTTTATGCACAACTGTTAATGTGAACTGATCAATATTCGCCGAATAATTTGTCCAACTCGTGTTCCAATTTTTTTAATTTTCTCGAATCAGTACAAAAATTCTTCCGTTGTCGCCTACGTATTCATCCGAATTTGGTAACACTCTCATCGCTCATACTGCTACAAATTCAGAATTTGACCGCATAAAGTCAGCTGTATTTTCGTTAATCACCTCTTCTTCATTTGCAGTGTCAAAGATGCTCACATCGTGAAATGATGTCTAGACGTGGCAGAAGAAAAACCAATACCATATTCAGAGTCGGCACAGCTTTTTCATCCATCACCATTGAAACTTGATAACGCAAATCAGTGTAATTTTAAAAATGTCGTTATTTTCCGCAATTTATTGTTTTGCAACGGCAATAAAACTGTTCTACCTTGGTAACATTTTGTTTTTTTCCAATTCATCCTACTGTCGTTTTATCGTTATCATTGCGATGAAGCAAAAATGCGGATCAAAATTTAAAAGATGCAGATACCTAGCAATGTAGTATTGTACATTTTTAGATTAGCGAGTGTTCCATGTCCTCATCGTGGTTCTTCACTACTGATGTTTGAATATAGATGAAGACTAACGATACTTTTGGGAATTATTTAATAGGTGTGGTATGATTATCTACACGATGTATGCTTCTTGCTTTGAACCAAAAATTGAAAAAATATAAGACTACCGTGAAAATAATGGTCGAAGTCGTCATGAATTAAACGAGAATAGGGAGATAATATCGTTAACTGTGTTGCGACAGTGTTACAGATGATGATTGGACCCTATTAAGTATCTTTTGGAAAAGACATCCACTTGAAGGAGCAGGCTGATGATGATTGATTGATATTCTGGCTTATTTGCATGCTTTATCTTATGACATAATTCATGGCTCAAAGTTCGTGTGCTAAATGAACAGCAAAATTTGTTTCACTTCAATACTTGTTAAAATTATCGGAGGCATAAATCTGTTTTACAAAAGATAAATAAGACTGCACGAAACTAGAAACGCTGTTTCATATTTCAAAGGAAACGGGAAAAAAACAACCTTTGTTTTAGTACACAACACTCTTTTCTTTTATAAAATTCAGAAAAAGAAATACTTAATTTACAAAAGAATTCAGTGTGCCATATTCAAAACATATAGAATTGTAGATCGCATAGAGTATGATCAGAAGGTGCTGTGAAATTTGAACATAGATTAGGAAATATTGTAACAAGCTTCACTGCACTGAACCAATGTGTCGTTCTCAGACCATGAATTCCAATTGACTGGCAATTCAGAGCGCACAAGTGCACACGATTAGTGAGCAATCAGCATTGACTGAATGAATTTATAACTGTTCAAATTAATGAGTCGCAAACCGACCTCAGTACAAGTTCAATTATTTCACTCCATTACAGCAACATGCACATGGATACTGTAATAGTAGTATGTGTAGGTCAACTTCATGTGAAATACCCTGCCGTTAAAATCATAATCGAAGCAATTCTTAAAAGAAATTCACTATAAACATTTACGCGTGCGAGCGTATCCAATAACACAGTTGTACCTAAATCAATTGATTCTCCAGTGTCCAGACTTTTCTTTCACCTTCAACTGTTCAAACTGTTAGCCCTCAAGGAAAGCTCGTTGTTGCACTTTAACTTTAACTAATCCGCACACATTTTGATGTATAAAAAAACGTAAAAGATAATTAGTCTGCTGAAAGATTTAATCTTTCATTCTCTTGCTTGAAAACAACTTTCGTAAGTAGCGTTCATCTAACTTTAAGCATATTCCCGATACAACAGAAATTTTCGTCTTGCATCTTTCACAAATCAAATCGTTCCTCGGTAATACACATTCCTCAAAACATAAACAATGTGGTAATATTCTTCACTCTAACAATAAACATTTCAGCATGACAATCAATTATGTACAGATAATATTAAGGCAAAAAAACCACTAACCGAACATTTTACAACTTATCATAGTCACATCTTAAACGACTATAAATGGCAGTGTAGTTCTATTTTGCTTGCTCATAGTGCACGCTGTCAGCAGCTTTTAGCACAATGAACGAAAATGATACTGATCAAAACATCAATAATATTCCAATGAACATTATTGATGATTCTTAAAGCATATGAAGAAGGTGAAAAGTTCCGTTTATTCGTTTCCTTCAACCATCCACTCTCCCAGTCCGCTCTAGATCATCAGCCGCAAGCATATATGCGGGTCGATACCCGATCAGTTCTCCCTTTTTATCAACAATTTTAAGAGCATCATTCTTCCGTGTTGTATCTCGATCACCAAGTGACGTATAACCCAGATCGTATAAACGGCAATATGGAATACATAAACCACGTAACATTCGCCAAACATCGGCGTACGACCAATCCAATATAGGACAAACCCTTTAATTTGAACATTATTTAAAACAAACGCTATCTATTCACTGGAAAAATTAAAGATATCATTTGCTGAAAAACTGCGAGGTTATTTAAGCAAATGCGAGAGTGCTTATTCACATAAGGCTAAACGAAGGAAACGATGAGACATTCTTTTTTNCCCATTACAGCTACACTCACTTTAGGTCTCATTTCTTTTAGTTGCTTTAATCCGTCTCTTAATGGTCCTGACAACTCTAATACTTCGATATTATAACTGAAATAATAACCAATCATAACTCAAAGAAATTCTACCATAAGCGACAATTGCAAAAAGCGTGAAGAATTTAATTTATTCACAAATTCCTCATCAATGGTATCAACAAAGAAACACCAAACCATTTTGCCACGTCGATTATGAACTGCGATAAATCTGGAAATGAATCGCCGCAAACAATATGAAATCCTTGAATGGTTTTACCCGGTCCATATATTCTACAAAAGATAACCAATTATATGCTCAAATACTTCCGCCACAGTAATTTTTTGACAGCAGAGAGTAGCGATAACTTATTTATTTTTTGTCGCCATTTCGCTATTTTCTCATTGTTGTACTTTCTTTCACCGTTGACTCTTATTCATAGTTATAGAGTTTTGTTATTAAACGATAAGCATAAATAAAAATTTCCAACTGTTTAATGGTGTAATGAGGTTTCTTATCAGTCAAATCAGTAACTTTTGAGGTGAGATTTAAAGCAGCAATTAGCGTACTAATCTTGCTGGATAGCATTTAGCGAAAATCACTGTTATCTTTTCCGATCATCGGCACTTTTAGTCAGAGCTGTTCGCCACACATAACTGCGAATAACAATAACGAGACGAAGAATGAATGAAAAACGCACTCATCAATTTTTATCCTCAACATATGCAGTAATATTGTGCAATCTTTTCCACCATTAAACGATAACGCAATGTTCTCCAATCTGAAAAACAAAACCTTCAAATAATAACTATGAAAAAATAAACTAAAATGAAATATTCCAACAGATTTGACAACAGAAACTGTTGAACGAAGCAAATGAAAAAATACACAAGTGAAATTGGAAAGGTGGTAAGCAAAAAAAATTATGATAGATGTAAAACTGAACGCGAGCATGACAACAAACCAAACGAAACGAGTTGAAAACGAACGGATATTTGTGAAGAGTGGAGTGGATGATGGACATAGCATCATCAACACGATCTATGAATGAACTATCAGTGTTCACATCGGATTCACATTCACGTCTTTTGAATGACATGAATTTGGGGATTGGATCCAACCACGCTGACTCATCATAATAGACAATCATTTCTAAAAAATATTATCACAACTCACTGACCAAAATATTGCAAATAAACGAGAATAAGGCAAAGCGAACAATGAATAACACTTTCCTTCATATATACTAGAAACAATGAAAAAGTAAATTGTGTTCTTTCGATTAGTTTTGTGAAGATGACGGAAAGTGAGAAACCTTTAAGAGCAGATTTCAGATCAGCAACAGCGCTCTCACCAACAGACACTGAATCACTTTCAATGGTCAATTTCGCTTTGTAATAGCTGAAATTCTCAAATGAAGAATCAATTCAGAGAAATGCTTTGAATAACACCACAACTGACCACAGCATTCAACAAAAATTTCTTTCACCAAACGCATCTTAAGATGCCAAACACGTCACAAACGCCGAGTTCAAGATCCTATCGGGGAGCAGAACGCCATCCTTTCAGATTTGGTGTAGTATCACTTGAGAATTAACTGTGATTTGTGTAGATTGCAATACTAACGTGCTCATCAATAAGATTCTATAAACGAAATGAGAACAGCGATTAATGAATGGTATTAAAACAGACGCGTTATCAGGTGCCGGATACGAGCCAATCGACACTAAACTTCCATATTTGTCAGCAATTTCACTCAAAATTTTTGAGAACTTAAGTTCCGCAGCTTTCACAAAAAGCGTTTCGGTGAAAAATGGCAGTAGTGATCCATGAGGAAAGATGACATCCTGAAAGTGCATGAATGAAACAACAGAAAATTGCTGAGAGCTGCGATTGTTCATCGTGATTTAAACAAGAATTAAAAAACTATCACGCTATCACGTAGGATACACGGATAACTTCAATGTGAGAGGACCACTGAATTGTGATTTTAATAAGAGCAATGCTCTGAAATGTAATTCAGTCTATTGACAGACGAATAAATTCAACTGAATAAAGCAGTAAATTCCAAAATTTGACAACAGATACCTCAAAATCCTCGAATGCTTGTTGACAAAACTTTGGGACACCTGGAAAGACCGTTACATTACGTATTTGAACGATTGGAAATTTTGAAGTACGTTTGCAACCCCATAATAAACGAGAAGTTTTAGGAATCTGAAACAGATTATCGACATTGAATTTGGATTTGAGAAAGAGTGTAATAGCTTTGCATTTTCTTCGATTCATAAAATGACTCTGATCGATGGAATTATTATTCAAAGATGCAGGAAAATTAATTACAGATTAAAAATGCATAAAATTCGAAAAAGAATAATTCAGAAAAGAATAATTCAAACTAACATTGCACATACGTTCCAAACCAGTGTTAGGTTCCCCTTCCGAACCGTGTTTTAAGTATTTCTTGTAAACAGAGTGCATTTCAGCACTGGGCGACAATACATCCCCAAATGCTAGCGCAACCGCTGAAAACAGTGTTGACTAGTGACTTGCAACAACTACCACGTGTGCTTCGCAGACTGCTAAGTCGGCTTTCAACATAACTTTTACCTCAGTCATTAATTTTTTGAGCAATTAAACAGGACTGATATGTGTGACAGTTCATCACTTACATTCATAAAAATCATTTCAACTTCTTTCATCTGAAACACACAATGAGAAACAAAGAAAATAGTGAGTGAAGTGGTGATGTCTAAAACAATAATTCTTTTCTACCAACTAAACTGGAATCTTGACATTTTATAGCATTGACAATAATGATAATGTAGGTGAAAAGTACCACAAAAATGTAATGAACGTTCAGAGAACAGTCAAAACGAACCCATCAGAGTTCGATCATCATGCGTAGGTCCAATTCCACCAGTTGTGAACACAATGTCATAACGACTACTGAATTTACTCACTTCGTCAGCTATTTCATTCACTTCATCACCAATTACTGATATCTGAATTTCCAGGGTGGATTAATTTATCAAAATATCGTTGAGACCAATAAACGTAGACATCAGTATAAACCTGTGCAATATTTAATTATCTATTCTAATGTGTGTTTGTCGATCAAATCAGATGATTACATCCTATTTGATTCATCTTGCTTTATTTGGGAGAATTTCTTGCCGATCGCCGTAAGCGATGACTAGATTTTAGATTACAGTGTCAATCTGAAGGTTTAGTACGGAACTTCAGAAAGGATTGACTAACAATAATACGCTAACCTTCTTTACCAATACACCTTTATTATGAAGTTTACGACAAAAGAAATTTGAATTAGTATCAACTGTCGAACCTTTCAATATCTCATCGCCAATCACTGCAATCATTTGAACAATTCGTTTATGAACATACACTTACATGCCTCCGTGCCGGCTCTTTCTATCGAAACAAGCCTTGAGTCAATTCAATATTGAAAACAAAACGGTCATTCGATTCTTCTGATTATCAAATAGTCAGAAGCATTTTAAGCAACACCAAACAAAGTATACCATCAATGCAAATAATCAGCATGGACTTACCGATAATACCGGCCGTTTTGCGATGTCTCGTTGCCATTGACAACAGCCGTAAAGAATCGTTGATAACAACCTTAATTGGTGATGTTGTTAATCCGACTGAACATAACCGATTCATCAACCTGACACCACGCACTACCGTTACCAAATCAGACTTCGGTCTTCTAAACCCAGCCTTTGTCCTTGCAATTAGTCAACAAATTTTTTTAAAATGAGCAATATTTTATTGTGGTGGTGCACACCATTGTAAAGCATGCGAACCCTATGAACGATATTATATCGCTCGCTAACGCATCAAAACACGACCCACAATAAACAGGTAAGAAAGTGAGTGTTTTTATACCACAAAAAAAAAACAACTGTAGGCGTATAACTTCAACAAGAAAGAATCGAGCTTGAATGGAAGTTATCAAGAAATCAGCTTTATGCAGTTATGAATTTGACATGTCAAACAATGACTTCATGTAAAAATTCAAAACTCTATAGGCACGAGAAGTAAAATTTTCATGGATGTACCGTCAAACTGTAACATACTGATTCGGAACACCAGTGTGATGGTAAATTACCACTAGAGGGTTGTGGCACAACTGGTTGGTCGTAAAGAACTTTTTGCACATTTTAGAAATGATATTTAGAATATTAGAATTGATACTGCTTTTGATTAACAGGAGACTGCTTTTGCCGGTGTTTCTCATAGGAGGTAATATAACTCTTGAGGGTAATTTGGAGGTGTCAGGGGATTATTGAGGGCTTACATGAATTTGTTGGTAGATTTCAATTTTCATCGCCGACGGACGTCTTTTCACTGCTTTTCGTTGTTAAATGCCAAGGTTCATATTCTTTCTGCAATTAATAAGCAAAATTCTAAAAATACTCGTTTCATTTCGCTCATTCACATACATTTCACTGCAACACGATTGTTTCTCCGCACCATCGGATTTTCGGGCTCTCTACTTTCAGAACATTACAGATGCTGTTGGACGATTTTACTCACCACAAATAATCATAACGAATTTCTAAAGTCATCTCAAGTAGCTCAGTGGCTCATTTCAGTCATTTTTCCTTTTGATGATGCAGTTTCAAATAGCTGATCATAGATCAAAACTTTTTACACGGAAGTGTTGTCAATACAATAGAATTTTGCAACAGGCCTCTGAATGCATCACGTCAAAAAACGTCGAGCGATGTTACATACTTACAATGCTTTAGACACGCACGTGTACACCTACGCACGCTCGCATCTGAAGCATGACAGTCGGGATTCATGAACCCTCTGCATCTCTACTTTCTCGTATATTCCCATGCTATTTTCCTTCTCACTAGTCTTCGCAATGCTATTCCGACAATTCTCAACCAGTTGACGAGAGCAGACACCCCACCTGCTAATCGATTTTTACCCCATCTAACTCCACCAAGATGACTTAAATCACTTTCAATTCTGTTTGCACGACTGTACAATTCTTGATACATTTGATTCGGATGAATTTTTGAATATTTTCAAAATTTCGACCCATTTGATCTATTTTCATGAATAGTACCACCGCAATTGATCATTAGAGATCTTATCACTGTGACTACCTTATTCATAATATCGATATTCACTTACTTCAGTCATGAATGGTCTGTGCGGTGGAGTGATACATCTGTGTATATGTCATTGATGATTTTAATATCAGTGATTCTTTATTAATATTTTGTCAGCATTAAAATACACTCGTCATATTTAGTACGGAATATTAGTTACTCGTGAGGTAAACTTATCAGTGAGAATCGTATTGAATTGCTCTGATCTTTTTGAAATGAACTCGATGAAAACTGCGAAATATTAATTTAATACTGTTCCAGATGGAGATGATCGAGCAAGCTGTAACAGCTTCAACGATCCTGTCACTGCTGATCAACTCGAATCGAGGGTGAGGAATTAAGCATTCATGTGTTGATTTAATTTGTTACTTAGTGATTTGAAATGACTTGATTGTCAATCGGTCTTGTTAATTTTTCGTGATCTGATATGAAATGCCGTATTTTCAGTGAGTATGATGGACAGCGTTTGGATGGATGTTTTTTTCGACGGCTGGCGATGGATGGCGCTCGATGGTTGATGACGATGTTCTGGATGAGCCGAGATGTCACCAACAACAAGAAGGATTATCAACATGCAACATTTCACATATCAAATCAGCGAGAATATCAAAATGAAAAATATCAAATTCAATATCAAAAGACAAACCATCAAATAACAATAACCGACAAATACGACACGATAGCGCGTGGAAACGCTGGGTTACGAGTTTTAACTTTATTTTCTTTTCATTAGAACTTTAATAAATGATCCGGAGTTGAGCAACTCCTCATTTTTTACTATTTATTTTCATTTCTATTAGAATTTAGGGACCGAGAATAAAATTAAGTCGTGGTCAGTGACCACTTTTTTGCCTGCTTTATTATTTTATGCTTCAATTCATTTGTGAATATTGTGAACTGTAATTATAAATGATTGTGTTGTGAATTTGAGAATGTTTTAATAGTATTGTGAATGTTTGTATGTGTAATTAAGTGATTGTAAGTGATGCTTTACTTGAAACCGACTTGTAGAAATTAGGTGACAATACAGTGGTGCAGATATTGTGATGTGTTGCTCAATGTTATCATTGTTGATCGAAATATGTTCGTGAAGACATTAATGATGCTTCGTATATTTTAACTGGGGGGATTTTTTAGTGATTGTTAATTTAGTTGTTATTATTAGTTGCACTATTATTGTATTGTTAATATTGAAACTGCCACTGTATTGTCATGGGCTGAGAAGTTCAGTGGGCGATAGTCTAGTGTTATCAACTAACTTACGAGAGGATCCGCGATTATCTGCTGCCCTTTAGGATGGAATTTTTGATTATTAAATTTATTTATTAATTATAATGTATAGTGTATTGTTTATGTATTGTGTATGTATTATAATGTATAGGCATTGTATGTATAATTTAGTATAATTTTATTTATGCCACAATTTTATTTATTCATTCATTTTGGATATTTATCATTGTTGCCAGCATTGTGAACTTTTTTGTATGGGATGTGGTAGGGCGAAGGAGGGATGCGGCACGTGATGACCCGCTTAACTCTGGAGCCAGAGGTAGGGACTTGGACTGGCCCATTCCACCTAATTGAAAAATTTTTATTCATTTTGTGCACCCCGTCATC